TTATATCTGGTTGTGGGGGTCCTACGGAAAAAACATCGTGTCTTTTAGAACGCATACTTAAGCAGCTATTGAACTTTGTGGAAACGCACTTGTGGGACACTAGTGATTTCCTACAGCGGTTAGCAGCTCACTCAGAGGGACAGGGGCTCGCCGAGGGATCTATATTCTTCAGCATAGATGTTGTGAATTTATATGGAAGCATCCCCATCCCTGAGGCTATCGATGCGGTGATGGAGAAGTTAGAGGCTCACCAGGATGAGGTGGATACCTTCGGTCTCTCCCAGGATGATATTAAACATCTCCTTCAGCATTGTCTCACCAAGAACGTATTTAGGTTTGATGATAAATTTTACCGACAAACACTAGGGATCGCTATGGGCAATCCATGTGCCCCTCCCATAGCCATTCTCTTTCTGGATCGTTTTGAGCGCAAAGCGTTAGAAAACCTGGATCAGAAACCGTCCTTTTTGGTTCGGTACATTGACGATTACGCAGGCGTGTGGACCCATGGAGAGCAGGCTTTAGTAGATTTTCTGTCGCATTTAAACTCGCTTCATCCGACACTCCGCTTTACCATGGAGCATTCCGGTACAAAGTCGGGTGTGGCCTTCCTAGATACCTTAGTGACAGTAGTGACCCAGGGCCAGGTTACGAAGATTGAAACGGAACTTTACATAAAACCTACGAACTCAGGGATCATCCTGCACTATAAATCAGCCCACCCGAAGTCTACTAAACAAAACATAGTCCGTAGTCAGTTTCGGCGAGCGATCAGGAACTCTTCGAGCAGTGCTAAAGAGAGGGCGAGTATAGACAAGATTTGGACATTGTTGGTTCAAAATGGGTACCCAGAGAAAGTTCTTAGAAGGCTCTTGTGGGAGGTCAAACAGCAAGGGTCCAGATCCAGGATGGGTAAAGTTAGTCGAGACAAGGGCGAAGATGGCTTCTTATGTTTACCGTACATAGATGAAGAACTGCTATGCAAAATTCAAAGTAAAGTTAGGAAATCTGGCTTAGCTGTCAGGATAGCATGGAGGAACCCCCAAAAGCTACGAAACAAACTGGTTAGATCATCACTATCTAAACCTATCTGCCCTGGAGGCCCACGATGCAACATGTGTAAATCAGATTTTTCAGGTGATTGTACACAGAAGAACGTCGTCTACAGGCTAAATTGTAAGTTGTGTGAAGGAAAGGGTGACGACGGCACATATATTGGCGAGACAAAACGACCTGTTCGACTAAGATTTAACGAACATTTACGAGACGCCTTGAGCGCATCCGAAGGGACCCCGATGGGAGACCACTTCCGTGAGCACCACCCCGGCGCGCCGCTAAACAAATCATCCCTTCCTCTTCAGGTTCGCGTCCTTTATCGCTCCAAAGACCACCCGGACAGAAAAATCGCAGAATCCCTACTTATAAAAGCAAACCGCCCGCACATAAACTCAAATCTTTCGTCGTGGCCAATCATGTAAGCGCCTGTATCATGTGTATCTTGTGAGCGTGTAGCCTTTTCAACTCAATCGATTAATATGTGTATGTGTATATTATTTTGTTATGTGTGTGATGTACATCGGCGTTAGTGTACATACCTTCCATACGATGTGTGTTTGACAGCTACGTGTACAATTGTATATTATGTATGTTACGTACATCGGACACTATGTAGACAATCGATCGATCAAATAGTTTGCCCTTATGAGTAGCGCCTTTTCTAAAATATCACGATCTTCGGTTTTTGAAAAATGGCAGCCAGATTATTCACAGGATCGTCTTTTAACATTGTTATCACGTTGGTTTGATAAAGGCCAGTGGCCGAAAGCTCACCGTTTTTTTAAAATATATTATTCGGCTTTTTACATTTTTGATGTCGAGGAAAAGGTCAACTTCTTTTATTTATCTAATTATATGAAAAGACTTCGCTTCGCTCGCTGCGCTCGCTCGCTCGTAATAACGGAAAAATCTCAGTATGAGCGGCCCGGCCCGGCCCGGCCCGGCCCGGCCTGTAACGCTTTTGAGAGGCTTATATCTCAGCAACCGCTGGACCGATTGGCCTGCGGTCTTTTTTGTTGGGTAGCCCCATCCCTTCTACCCCGTAATTGACTACTTTTGATACAGATCAGTGACCGTCGTGGCACGTGCCACGTGAAAAGTCAAGGGTGTTCAAGCTGTTTTGCAAAAGTAGTGATTTTGAGAGGCTCATATCTCAGCAGCCGCTTGGGCGATTGGCTTGCGGTAATTTTTGTAGGGTAGCAGCATCCCTTCTACCAAAGGTCGGATACTCTCGATGCATGTGGGTCACCCCCAGTGCACGTGCAAAATACAACAATAAGAGGTGTCAAATTTGTTCCCATTTCAGTAACTCGGTAATTACTAGGGCGATTTCGCTGAAACTTGGCATACAGGTAGGCACCCACCAGGCAATGCATTCCCATGTGTTGCGGTTAGGGTGCTACTGCACGTGCGCACGTGCAGGGGGCGTTTCCAGATCTCGAGAACGGCTGGGCCGATTGCGCTCAAATTTGGTACACGGTTGGGGACCGGTTAGTAGGGTGCCGTGCAAAAGTCATTTTGGACCCCGTTTGCACGTGCGCACGTGCAGAATGCCGCTTCCAGATCTCAGGAACGGCTGGGCCGATTGCGTTCAAATTTGGTACACCGCTAGCGACCGGTTAGAACGGTGCTTTGCGCAAGTCCATTGGAAGTACCCTCTCGCCCTTCCGCACGTGCAGGGCTCACTATCTCGCTCGCTCGTTCTTCGCCCAAAAGGCGTTTTACTGGTACTGAGATTTTTCCGTTATATTGAAAAGACTCGCTTCGCTCGCTGCGCTCGCTCGCTCGTAACAAAGCGGTTTGAACAAAGTGGTTTGATACATGTCTAATGCAATGTCATGTTCCATGCGCCGTGGCATATGTACATTTCATTGATTACGAGCGAGCGAGCGCAGCGAGCGAAGTGAGCCTTTTCAATATAACGGAAAAATCTCAGTATGAGCGGCCCGGCCCGGCCCGGCCTGTAACGCTTTTGAGAGGCTTATATCTCAGCAACCGCTGGACCGATTGGCCTGCGGTCTTTTTTGTTGGGTAGCCCCATTCCTTCTACCCCGTAATTGACTACTTTTGATACATCTCAGTGACCGTCGTGGCACGTGCCACGTGAAAAGTCAAGGGTGTTCAAGCTGTTTTGCAAAAGTAGTGATTTTGAGAGGCTCATATCTCAGCAGCCGCTTGGGCGATTGACTTGCGGTAATTTTTATTGGGTAGCAGCATTCCTTCTACCCAAAATAGGATACTCTCGATGCATGTGGGTCACCCCCAGTGCACGTGCAAAATACAACAATAAGAGGTGCCAAATTTGTTCCCATTTCAGTAACTCGGTAATTACTGGGGCGATTTCGCTGAAACTTGGCATACAGGTAGGCACCCACCAGGCAATGCATTCCCATGTGTTGCGGTTAGGGTGCTACTGCACGTGCGCACGTGCAGGGGGCGTTTCCAGATCTCGAGAACGGCTGGGCCGATTGCGCTCAAATTTGGTACACGGTTTGGGACCAGTTAGTAGGGTGCTGTGCAAAAGTCATTTTGGACCCCGTTTGCACGTGCGCACGTGCAGAATGCCGCTTCCAGATCTCAGGAACGGCTGGGCCGATTGCGTTCAAATTTGGCACACCACTAGCGACCAGTTAGAAGGGTGCTTTGCGCAAGCCCGTTGGAAGCACCCTCTCGCCCTTCCGCACGTGCAGGGCTCACTATCTCGCTCGCTCGTTCTTCGCCCAAAAGGCGTTTTACTGGTAAATAACGTACTTATAAACGTTATTGGTGGCGAATGTAGTCGTTGCGTGTTTCCCGACATACTCAGTTTCGTCATTGATTGCTACGTGCCTTGCCCTTGGGGACGGTCATAACTAGCCGTCAATATAACCGCTTTCACGCAGTGGATAACCCACCAAATGAGACTAGACTTAACCCATTTGCTGGAGCAATAGGCTTATTTGCAGCATCACCATAAATACAACGTCCTAGATTTACCCCTGCATATGATCCATTGACCATTTCGTTTGTGATACGCACGGCGAGGGTAGCACTAATAGACCATTCCGGGGAAACGGGAAATGCGTGGCAGAACATCAGGACATGCGGGTTAATATTGACTGACCCGTCACATCGACCCGATACTCATCAATGACAATTGGCCGCCGGAGGCGCCCCGGGGTACAGGGCACGCGGGTGTTTACCAAGAACACAGCCAATTGGCTTCCTCAGCTGGGGTTTCTGCTAACAAGAATCGAACAATATTGGTGCCTTCGTTAGTGGGAACATTCTCCAATGGTGTAATTCAATCATACGTTCCCGGTGGCATTGTTCAGATATCAGCTTTTCTCTCAGGCGCAGCTTATCCCCGAGCTGCACTGCAATTTCGTACTAGATAGTAACGCCGAGTAAAGTGATACAATTTAGTGGCGTCATTCATTAGAGCTCGGTCGGTAATGGCGACACGTGTGGCGCAGTGCGGCGCTCTCGGCGCGGCTCGGCGCCTGTGACATAACTCGGCCCCTTGTGACCGGGGTGACACGGCCCGGCAGTAACTCGCCCGGCCGGCCTTTATCAGCTGGTGCCGGGGTCGCCGAACAACGGGAAATACGGCAGGAGTGCCGTGGTAACATGTGGAGCGGGGTGCCGGGAGGGAGAATAGGATGTCACAGTTCTCGTCTTCTTGGCAATTCAGTTCTGCTTTCGTTTTGTTCTTTCTTATTTGACGTGGCGAATGGCGTAGTTCGCTAAATGCTGCATATATGTAATGCATATTTTAGTTCGTAGTATCATTTTTTTCTTGACTGCATATCGAAGCATATTTTTTTATATCAACGATTTATCACTGCATAGCTAACTATGGAGTTTTCTTTTCTGGCTGCTAGCCTTGTGGGCATCTGTAAACTCCCCTAGCTTTATCTGCTCCCCGGCTCTACTCCCCGACACTTCTCCCGTCTCCAACTCACCGCGTCTTTGGGTGGCGAGCCGAGCCGATAGATGTTGACGGTGTGCGCCGTCTGAAAGTGTACCATCAGGTCCCAGGCGCTGCTGAAAGACTCCTTGCAGAGGGCGCAGACCAGTGACGAGGACGTCCGACTCGAACCTGCAACGGGAGGCCAGTCACGTCATTAATCGGCACTTGGGATTAAATTCTACGTCACTAAATTTTTATCGAATAATCAGCTTTACGATGTTTACTTTGGTTCTAAATTGGTCTTGTCGAATTGTTCTCATTTAGTCATCGAATTATTTTCTTGTGTTTTGAATAGAATCATCAATTAAATCGGTTTCAGAATGTTTGCCAAATTATGCCAGTCTCGGTGACAGTGGTAGAAAGGCACAGAAAAGGCGTGTGGTAAATGACTTTCATTTTTATAGTGATACTTCACTGATCATTTGGAGCAGTCGTGTCCACAATGCAGAGAACTTCAGTAGGTCGTTCTTGTTTTATTCAAAGGTCAACGACCGGAAACACTCCAATAAACCGCTGGGTAAAGCACAGATCCCGGGACGCGGGAACAGTCCTGTTGGCCTCTCATAACTTCCACCGTAACGGGGAATACGTGTCAAGTAGGAAACCCTTTGAAACTAACGTTGATTTTACATTGAGATTTTAGGAACATGGCCATGATTCTCGTAGACATGAATAGGTGCACGGAAAGGGAACAAAAATATAAACTGAACTATTCGATCTGCATGAAACTTAACGAAATTATATATAAAAAATCAGATATATCAAATATATCCTGCTTGTTTTTATCTTCTACTGAAATTTCCAGTTAAACAAGTGCTTATATTCATTTTCGGTCCGCTCAACTCAGTTCGACCGTAATAAGCGCGCGCCTCGGGCCATGATTGGGGACGCATTAGAGGCCGCTCGCCCGGGACGGGGCGGGGCGGCTGGGACGCGCAGTTTCCCGTCTCGGGCATTACCCAAGGAGGAAAACAGCGGCGACGTTCCGCGCAACTGGCTCTAATCGCCACCCGAACCATTTGCATGACAATACCGTCGTGCTAGCAGCCATCGAAGGCGCCACAAAGGAGCCCCGACTCTGGGGAGGGCTGACGCGAATAGCGTCAGAAGGCAAGGCGGGTGTGTGCCGGGCGGAGAAAAACCTGGGCTGCAGCTGCAGCGGCGTCTTGGTGCTGCTACGATCGCCGATGTTCGCTTATGTGTTCGATAAAACACCTAGCATGGATTCAGAGTTTTGAAATAGTGCAAACGCAGAGATAATATAACGAAAAGATGAATTACGGTTATCTGTGGCTTAGCCTTGGCCTATGTGCATCAGCCTCCTTTCAGTTGTGATCATACTCGGCCCATTCGGAGCAGTATCCATACAAGAAGCTTTTCCCACCCACCTCACTACCATGATGTCCATAACCTCCTCTCAGCCCGTAACGAATATATCTAAAGGAAAAAGTTTCATCCCCACTTACTTTTTTATTCCTTCTCACCTCGCCCTTTAAATTGGAGCTCTGTTCTGAAGTGGTCGGTCCCTAACCTAAACTGCACTCTCATTTACTCCACCCCTTTCTCCTCACCATTCTTACCGATATTTATTCATTTGTATTCGCACCACTTTCCATTTGCTCAAGACTTTCCCCTAATACCTCCAGACCAGGGCGATCCTCTCGGCTGAAGGCTCTCGATCCCCTCCCTCCCACTCGGCGGCCACCCCTTCTCGGCTTGAGGCGATACCCTTCATCACGTTGCTGGCGATCGGACGGATAATTGCTCTGCCCGCGGCGGCTAGGACGTGATGAATGCACGCTGATAGCCGCCGCGCGCCGCGCCGGGTCCGCCGCCGCGGCCAATGTGGCGCGCGGCGCGCCGGTATCGACCCCGGCTTGGCGGATGGATGGTGCGGCGTTTGCGGCGCGCGTGGAGCCGTCAGCTGAGGTCGTGGAACATGTGATGGATGGCCGGTGAAAGGGCGCAGACGCCGGGCGGCGATCATGGCGCGCTCATGGCAACATGCGCCGTGATGGATGCGGGCCGCGGTGGCGAGCTGGGTCTGACCGACGGCCGACCGACGGGACCGAGCGTGGCTCCAACCGATTGTGCATGTCTTTATTATTAGTGAGACTGTGAGCACTGTGAGATCATTGTTGGCACTTGGGACTTGGGTTTCGCAATTCGCATGGCAGATGCGAAGTCGTTGGCGGAAATCCTTGTCCACAAGTGTTCGTTATTATTTGATGAACCAAGACTAGCTACTATGAACCAAGACATAGAGGCTCAAGCCTCAAGCCTTGGCGGACCGGGTAAGGATCCACAGACGACGTTCCTCACTTTTTGCCGATGTCGTGTGCTCTCCACATTTGCAGGCGAACCGCAGTTTGCAGTAGCTCCGCTTGTGATCCAGCATGTCCATGACGTCCCCGAACATCTCCCTGCAGTTGCCACAGATGAGGATGTCTGGACTGCCTGCAAAACAGAGAAGGGGCAGAGTGAGGAGAGCGGCTTCGGGGTGGCTGCTCAGCTGCTTAGTGGCATTGCAAATAGACTGCCTGAGGCTGTCGATTGTAATCCGTGATCGATACTTCGTGCTATTTTCACCTGTTTAGCGTTGAATTCGTTGGTACTCAATCAGTAGTTTCTGTACAAAGGTCATTCTTCCATACCATTTCATAAAGTCGTCGGACACTCCATCTCGAAGTACTTTCATTGTTGTGCTATAGGCAAATAATGCACTACGCAGTACTGCGAACCCTTCCTGGGCTCGCCCCTCAGTGCAGACACGAGTTTGGCACTGCTCTACCTCAGAAGCCATCAGGATGCAGCCATATCTCCCAGTCTGCCGCTGCGGAGCTCTGCACCGGACAGGATACACGGCTGCTCGGCTCCGCCGTTGAATTCGACCAAAATAGAGCAACCGGGGAATGATTCATGGCTTCATGACGCATTCGTCTGGCAAGCCATAACATGACGTCTGAGGATCTGATATTCATTGCTGAAGTTTATTGTGCGCCTTTGTCAGACCTCAGAACGTTGATGCAGTGATAGAATATGATTGAATAGGGATTGTGTCTGATATCGATGCTAGTTTTTGTGTACATGAGTTATTGTGGTTTACTAGACGTCTAGACAGATGCTTCGTCTAAAAGCTTGACGCAAATCTCAGGACAGAGATTTCAGCAAAAGTGCAGCCTGAACTTTCTATGAGATTGTCCCATGTGACTCCAAGTTTCGTTTACCTGATTTGTCCCATAATTATTAAATTAAGCTAAAACGTCAACGCTTCTACCTATAGTTATGTCTTGTCTAATGCAAAGTGACGTCATAATGACCCTCCCCATTATGTATGACGTCACACTGCCGCCATGTTTTGTTGTCCACCTTTGTGTACGGTAGTGAGGGCGAAAGGTCAGCGTCTGGCTGCGTCTCTGTGTGTATGTATGTGGCACCACCTCGGTCCGTGGGCCGATTTATTAGCCCGTGACACGACACCGCGCCCACGGGTCATTATGATGCCACACAAGGACGCCGCGTGACATCTTGGATGACCTTCTCAGGTCGCCCGGGGCGGCTGATGTATGCTAAAAGGCATACCCGTGTCAGCCGATGGTGGGGCCATACTGTTCGATCGATCGTAACACAACACAGTGTGGTGTGGTAACAAACATCGAGCCTTTTCTACATTTTTTCGTCGGCTTATTTATGCCACCGAAAAGCGCCCTTGAGTGCCTCCGCAGCGGCCATAACAGCGAGAAACAGCGCCGCCACCGCCCCACCAATATCGACACTGTCGACACCGCCAGGAGCCCGCGACCCCGATGTGGCATTTGACCGCCGGTAAAAAGCTTCTGCCGCCGCCGCGGCGGCCGGCTGGTCGAGCGTTATTGGTGTGCGGGCGGCGCGCGTGGCGACGTTTTTGGCTGCGGTTCGGTCCGACAGAGAACGGAGGATGGTCCGGCCGCGAAATGGCGGGATCGGCTGAGATATCGGCCGCACCTCAGCAGTGCCGTTACGGCAGCGACTGCCAACAGAGCCAGGAACCGACTGAGACGAGACTACGAAAGCAGTCCGAACCAGAAGCGACTAGGTCTTTGTTATATCGTTATATGAAACTATGGTATTCATAGTGTTGCAGAAAAATGCAAATTCATCGCCGTTCATACATACATACTTCCTTATTGACTCACAGCTATCGTCTGGAATAGCGAATTCGGAATTCGAAACACTAGCCCTGATTGCTGCGGCTGGATTTGCCTGGAACCTAGGCTGTACCGCCACACATATCTGCGCTGCGGTACAGCCTGCATTTCAGGCATCAGTCGGTGGCGACTGCAGCACTGGCGCTAGCCATGGCGGTGGAGCTTGAAAAGAAATATAAGCAAACTTTGTGCGTTTATCTTCATGTTCCGTCGGTATTTGCTAATGTGATATATTTTCAAGCGATTTATATTATCATGAGCCACTCTTTTCATAACTTAACTCAATAGTTCTCGTAAATACAAATAGATGGATCAGTAATCACGTTTGACCAGTTAAATCCTCTTAACATTAATCGGATGCGTCCAAAGCAAACTGCTATGTGGTGAAAAGCTTATGACTGCTTCTGGAATGTATCAAGAGCTGACAGTTACGCTGGCTCCCCTTCAGCGATATCTGTCAGCGCTGCCCCCTGTCACCCCTGTCAGGGCGCCGGACGAAATTGAAATGGTGACGGCAAAACATGTATGATGTGAGTCTATAGACATGTGATTTTTTACTCGCTGCCAATAAACATTTATATTTAGAAAGGTGCATAATTTTCAAGCAATGGAAACATAAGCCTTGCAGCATGGCCAGTGCTAATTCATAGCATCTAGACAGTTCATTTCATTCTAGATACTAATGTATCTTTTCTTTTTAAAGGGACTATCCCACCTTTAACATGGGGTTTGAGTTGAGATAGCCAAGTTTGCGGCGAGGTTCAGAAACCACTATCTATCTAGGTTGCAACCCCCGCGGCCTCTTGGTGTTGAAGAAATTCGTTCCCTTCATTTAAGGCCCTATCTTCAACATGGAGCGACCGTTAGTGTGACGTCACCTCGTTTAGTCATTCTGATTTAAATGGGTTTGTTCGTTGAAAAATCGCTTAAAACTTGGTCTGAACTTTGTTGTGATGCCTACAGAGTAAAAAGAATCAGCTTTATGACAGTAATGTGGCCTGGGGAAGGAGGTAATTTTGGGCTGTGACGTCACATATTTGAAAGTTTGTGTTTGGAATATGTGAAGCCTAAGATGTTTAATGAAAAATAAATGCCAGAACCGGGTTCCTGGTCATCCAATCTATAAAGTCGGGCACAATTTAACTGGTTTTAACAACATTTTAGAAGGTGGGATAGTCCCTTTAATGAATTGCCGACTGAGCTTGTGTGTCATTCCGAGTAGTTTTTCCGCAACAAACATTTGACACGCTGGATTCCATTGCTCGTTTGAATGAGTTTGCTATATAACTTTTATTTTTGTCGGTTTGCTTTACCGAGAGCATATCAATGTTCTCTTCTTCTTTAGTCGACAAATTGTGTCGTAAATTTATGTCGCAACTTCCCAGCAGCATATTGTACTTGAATGTATCTTCCTATCAGAGCATGATTAAAATCGTTGCACCTCCGCTCGTTTTCCATCCGTCGGCCCCGTCTCAATCTGCGCGTCGCTCCGTCTCCCGTCGCGGGCTGTCCCGGCTGTCCCACAGTGGGGCGGTGGTGGGCTGCCTCCCCATAACTCTGCGGCCGCTGGCGGCGTCAGCGGCCGGGCCGCCGACAGTTTACGCCCCAGCTCAGACACCGACACCCATCAGCGTCTGTGGGCGGCTCGGGCCCACCGTAATCAGACCGCCGGCCGGCTCCGAGCGGCCCAGCGGAGCACCGCGGCCCGCCGACCGCTTCCCGCGGCCCGCCGACGCAGACGGTGAAATAGAGACCACACCCGCTGCTCAGCCGAGATGGGCAGGGTTCGGCGAAAAGGCCGCGCCAGGGATCAGGGCGATTAGAGTGAGCCGGCTCCAAATGAGTGCTCGGGTTCGATAGATGACCAGTCGCTTATCGGAGTCGGTGGAGCAAAGCCGCGGGATCAGTTTAGCAGGGCTCAGATGGATGAATGTGACTGAATATTTCAAATGAATGGTAATGCGTAAAAATCAGACTTTCTCAATCTTATGGCAGCAGGAAGTAGGAAGCTTTCCATGGATTGTGATTTAACGAGCAACCTTCATCCGCTGCATACGCTCGTCATCATTAAGCGCGCAGTAGTACAGCCACTCACTGTATGTCTTGAGGTCGTCGAGGCAGAACAGTTTGGGCGCGTGCTGTCCTGCGGGAGCCGGGGTGGGTGACGGGGTCTGGCCGCTGCTGCTGCCGCCGGGGGAGGCGGCAGTGCCGTGCGGCGGCACCAGCACCCTCTGACGTTTGTTGGGCGGTGAGGCCGCCGCCAGCCGCACCGCCGCCGCTGCCGTGAACGGGTTAGCCGCCGCCGCCGCGTAGTACCTGGCGGCAGGGTAAACGGGGGGTTTATCGGTTAGGAGGTGATGTTTGTAGGCTAATGGTCATGAACGCGGGTATAGCTGTAAACATTTACACATATGGGTTGTTTGTGGTGCCATAAATCGTTCCAGAGCCTGCCGGAGGCGCAATGGACCGAGCGTGGTAAAGCGATCATGAAGAGAACAGTAGCCAACATGACAGCAAAAATAATCTGACGCTCGAAACAAGAGGTTGGAACAGTGAACACAAGCATTTCATATAAGGCGCCATAATGCAAAGTTGCAAAGTTCTTTAATTAAAACAGTTGTGTAAAAAAAGAAAGTTGGTTTTTTTCGATAAGCCTAGAACAATAATACCAAAAAGTCGTTAACATATTTTACTTTTTCATTGCTATTTGATTCAACATCTCAGCTTAAAAGAAAATAACCGACTGAAAAAATATCCGGTCGTATAAGTGTCTCGACAATAACAGAAACCTGACTCATTTTGGTGTGAAAACTTTTACTTCTCCATTATCTTCGGCTGTTCGGGAAGAGGCAGCTCATTTTTCAGCTGGAAACACCACCAGCTGTCGGTGCCGATTTTAAGTGAAATAGTTCAGGTGAGGTGTCCATTTCGGCCGATGGCACCACCGCGTCGCCCGCTGCGTGGCATTGTTTGCGGCTCTCGGGCTGTCGCCGCGCTGATGGCTTGCCCGACCGTGGCCTGGGCGGCAATCCGTGCGGTCCACTAATCCATACGGGGGCGGGGGCGGAGACACACCGCTCCCTCCCCGTGTGGAACCCGAGAACCGATGGACGTCGGCCTGGGAATCGGGGCACGTGGGCGTCTGATGGCCGTCTCTCCCCTCCCCACACTCCCTAACCCTCCCCTGTGTCCCCGTGTGTCCTAAACCAGACGACCAAAGCTCGAACGGGACTCGGTCACGCACTTGATGAACGCTGCCGTTTCTGGTTCCGATTCTACTTTGAGTTCGATAGCTGGGTGGTCTCGAGGTAATTTCTGTGAGAATGTCATTTCAAGCGGGAAACTTGGCTGGTCGTTGTTATTGATTGATTAGGATATTGGAGACCGACTATTTGACCACAGACTCAATAGGAAATAGTGCATCATGGTGCAGTTGGCCTAGGGCACGGTATTTCTGACGTGCATTCTTGACATCAGAAAGGTCTACAAAAAAGCTCTGTGAATCACTGAGCTAGGCTCTTGTTGCTCCGAATGCCATCCATCCTTGCCCTTTTCCTCAATAAAATGTCTGTTGCTGCAGATTAGACCATGCAGTACTTTAGAGACCCAATAGCGCAAGCACCTCACACCAAACCAGCTTTCTCCCCAGTCTCCAGCCAAGCCAGCGGAAATCGTCCGACACCGCCGCCGATTTCGGCAGTCGTGTCGTCTCCGCTCGTTGGCCTTCCTGGACAGCAACTCAGCAGGGCGGTGGGTCCAGCAGACACTATCGGTCTCCTATGTCGTGGTCAGATCGGTCGTTGGTCCGCGTGACCCGGCACCTGCCTCCGGGCACCGAGCCGGTCGACCGGAGTGCCCCCAGGCGCGGCGGACCTAACGACCTTGCTGTGCGCTGCGGGGGCGGTCGGGGAGGGGTGGGAAGGGAGGGGCGTGGGTTCTTTGATGGTTGTGGGAGTGTGATTAGTGCGTGTTTGATGACCACGAGGGTGGTGTGTGAAAGTATCAGGTGGTCAGTACATGCACAGATTCCAGGCTTGAGTTACTATAGCCAGTTTTATGGAGCTGTATGCTTATCATTGAAGCCATCATCGGGGAAGGACAGGACGCCTTATGAAGTGCAAATCCCGAGTGAATTGAAAGCGTTTGTCTCCCTACCTCCTTGCCACGAGATTATCTCACAAGACATCAGTCATGTCGCCGTTACCATCCCTCTCTGTCACTAGCTCTGTCACCACCTTCACCAATCCGCGTCACCATCAGTACGCCTGTCACTACATAGTCACCACTGGCTGTCATCATCCCGGTCATCACTCCATACCCGTTATCAACACTTTCAGTCACAAACCACAAATACGTGAGAAAGTAAATGCACTTTACGAACGGATTTTGAATTGACAATTGCGGTGCAGCTTTGCAGGGAATTAATATTGATTTTACTCATGTATACGCGGTAACTGAGTGAAGTCGGCCGTTTCAACCTACTAACAATCTTGTTCACTGTCCCCATCATCATCCCTGTGGCTACCCCTCTCGGTACCACCCTCTCACCACTCCTCCCACCATCACCATTGCCGCTTTCTGCACCACTGCACCACTCCCGCTCCCACTGACACCACTGCCCGGGCCCATCAGCGCGGCGTCATCAGTAGCGGCACCGTGCCGCCACTGTCGTCCTGTTCTATCTCTCGCGCCGACACCAGTTCTAATTAATTGGACGCCTGATTACGGCCGCAGGATTAGTGGCGACACCGCGGTGTCCTCTGTTCCCCGTGTCTGTGGCTCACGGCCGGACCGCGAGTCACTCTCCCCTGATGGCCAGGCTGGATCCGTACCGTCTTCTTACAATAGTGGCAGTGGAAGACCTGTGAGAAATTCACTGCTTTTGACGTCCGATGCGTGAGCTATTGCCACGGTGGTGGTTAAAGCCATTCTGGACCGGTAATGTTCTGAGAATAGCGTGTCGTTCATGTTAGGATGACTCTAAACGGTTCGTGCGGACTAATGCGCTAATGACTTTTCTGCCATGGACACTTTGTCAGTGGTTAATTTCCGGGATCGGATTAGCTCCAGGACAGCGACACGATTAATTCTGAAAACCGGCACCGGCCGGGCGTTAATTACGAAGTTTATACGGTAGCCGCAGCATCCAGGAGTCCCAGGTTGAGATTTGAGGAATAAGACGACTGGGGGTATTCGCGTGAAATGAAATGGTGGAATTGGGCTCCAGTTAGCACAAACAATCATTTAGCGGACTTTGGCACAGATGTTTTCTATATAAAAATGGCACAGAACCATAGTAACCGGGCTGATAGCTTGTTTTTAAAATGATAGGCAAACATATATACCGCATGATTGTTTGCACTTTGTACACGATCGCGTGATAGGCAGATGCGTGTTATGTACGCAGTCAACCAGTGAGCTGTCGTAAAATGAAGAGCTTGTGTGACAAGCTCGGCTGCTATGTACTATACTAAGTAGCCTAACCTTTGCTAACTGAGGCTGGCAGTATATTTACACTCTGACTCAAAAACTAACCCCAGCATTCGGAGAAGAGTCCGACTAAACGTAAAGGGCGACTGATTGGCCGCCTGCAGATCTAAGGTTTCACCGCGCACTGTCATGTTTACAGCTATGTTGTACAAGCTCAGCTGATCGTGTTGACATTTTCAAACAAACGCAAAGCTCCGATTCACGTCAGTTATGCCTTAGATATGACACCTGTTTAAACGTCTCGCACCAGCGAGAAGCGCCTCTGCAGTTTGGCAAGCACGTCGGCCGCCATCGTGGTCATAATAGGGCCTGTCGTGGCCATATATCAACTGGTGGCTATTTTGGCCACCTCGGCCGCACCTGTAATAACACGGCCCCCGATGCTGTTGTTATATTGGCGCATCAATCGGCTATATCTGAGTGACAGCGCATCTGCGACTGCCCGTCAAACGCCGTGGCGTCTGTCGCCAATTTGTCGCGCGCCCGCGCCGCCCCTCGCGTTTCCTCCGCGGCTTTTTCGGACCGCTCTGTTACGTCTCTCTGTGTCGTCCCTCCCATGTGCCGTGGCGTAACCTCATCAAACGCTGCTATCACAGTGCGTCCTTTCTGACGCGGCGGCTCCATATGCGGCGCGGACACGTCGCCACCAGACTGCCGTGCGCCGCGGCTGTGACGGGATAAGCCCACGACTGGCTGATGAGTGTCCTGTGTAAACATCGCCCGCAACAGGTGCCAAAGTCCCCCTCGCCCCCCCCCCCCCCTCTGGGATGCTCCCACCGACAGGCCGTGAGTCACCGGCTAAAATTATTCCGGCCGCCCGCAAGCGGCAATCCCGGCGCGGCGCGCACCATTCGCCGCGTCACTTATGCCGCGCGTGATTGGGCGCTAACGACCCGTGCGGCTATTCTGACGCGCCGCCTCTCTGTTTCTATGAGGTCACGCACACAACGCGAGCGCCAGCGGCGGCTCTGGCGAAAACAAACACGGAGCGGCGAATACTCTGCCCTCGACAGCAGCGACCCCGACGGGGGCCGGATTCAGAGCGCCGAGCCAAAGTGTCCATCGCTGGCGCCCCTCGCCGTCCCGCGGCGGCGGTAACGAGCGGTGACACGTGGCTCGCGAAAGTGACGCGCTCTATCGATAATTAATGACCCGGCCGTCTCGATGACCGAGCGTGACTCTCCGCTGGCCAGCCCGGACTGGCGACAACCCAGCGCGCGCCAGCGGGAGCGAGTCAGAAACGGACCAGATACCAGCCTTAGCTCCGGCGATTGAGACGCTTATCTGAGTGAGAAGCCTTTCATCCATAATAGGTGTCATGAATTGACTAGTTGACGCCTTTCAGAGGGAGGCTCTCAGTTTAATTAACTGAGTCCCTTCTTCACTGAGTCATTCTAAGTAGTTAAGACTGGCCCTGTTTTCTCCCGCTGATAAGCGTTCCCCCGGAGTGACGTGAAACGTTCAACAGAGAGACGAAGCCACAGCTCTCGTCGCCGTGTCTATTGGGAGGGACTGGTGGTGGTTTTTGGCGGCCGGCGCCGGTTCACATTGGCACCGAGGCACCGGGAGGCGACGAGCGACGCTCTGTGAAAATAGAACACAGTTGCCGCCGAGCACCGCCGCTCCAGTTGTGTCTGTCGACCGAGCGACCTGCCGCGCCTCGCGCCGACCCCGTGCACCCGTCAGCGGCTGCGGACCGCCACCCCTGCCAGTCAGATATGCGCCCGGCTGTGTGTAGCACCCCTCGTGTTCCTGCCCCTGCCTTCGTGCGTATGGTTGCATTTAGTTAGATCAGATACATTAGTGACAAATCCTTAGTAATCAAAAAGATAGGTTGCCATTAAAATTTCTGCTTAGTATTTTTGCTTGATGTGATTTTTGACAAATACGTGCGATAAACAAAAAGCTAATTTTCATTTCCACACAATAAAAACCTTACGTCCAGCCTGTAGCCGCGGAGACACGGAGGCTGAAGAGAGCAGCTCAGGAAAGGGAGCGAAGCTAACTATATAACGACGGAACCCTGCCGGGCTGCAGCTCCCGGGCCGACTGAATAAGGCTTATGAAAGGGTATTACAACAAAAGAGGCCGCCGGCATAAGAGTATGCGTAATGGCCAGAGCACAAAGACCATCTCCGACAATCAACTGCCGAAATGGAGCGTATGTGGGGAGCACAATGGACGCATATGGGCTCCATCCAGAGAGATGGTGAAGAAGAAAAAGAATGCATCGTCAAGGTGGCCGATTACATCCAGCTTAGCCTGCAGGAAGGAACGTTGCTGCGATTAGTTAGTCTGATAGGTGTATGGAATGAACTGAGCTTTTATAATGCATTGTTATAACTTGTAACTTAAAGCCTGCATGTGACTAGAAAACCGTAATTCGTACGCCTAATAAAATATCTAATCCCTGCTGAAAAAATATCATATACATGTTAGCATGCTTGGATATGAGGCTGATATGGCACAAAAAAGAGTCATGAAATCCTAGGAGGCTAGAGCCTTCCATAAAGATAAAAATACCTGATTAATTCTGGCATGGATCCGGGTGATTTAAATGTTGCGTTATTGTCGGTCGTTCGGAATAGTTTATAGCGAAGCGAAACTTTCGGTGCCGCTAGGAATAAATGTGCATTTCCAGAAACGGCACATGACAGAGTCCGCAATTTCAGACAGTCGTGACAACCGACGTCGTGGCCGTGCCTGATTAAAACTTTCCCCAGGCGTCAGCATGCAGTGCCGTTTGAGTTTTACAAAATCCCTTCATCGCTCACGGCATTTGCAAATATCAGGCGGCAGAGGGAGCGCGCCGCTCGTCTCCGGCGGACAACTTTGCTCTCCGCGGACGGCGGACGCCGCGGGGGTTTTAATCAGGCACACCGCTCCGTCATGAGTGGGTGCAGGAGATGGGAGTTCCGACCGAGCTCCACTCCGCACCCGGCGGCCGCGGACACTCCACTAATGGGAGAGACGTGGGAGGAGATTCTCCGCAGCTCCCCGTGTGACAGAACCCCAGATAACGGCTGTCAGACGGGCGACAGCTCTGTCACCTCCCGCGACCGAATGACAGCCATAATGCCGGTTAATGGGCAGCTAACAGCACAAAAACCGGACATTAAATTCTGTGCTGTGTCGGAGAGCTGTTTAGAGGTGTTGATCAAACAACATCATAAAGCTGTCAGTACGGCAAAAACCACATGAAAAGCATGCGCACATGCCGTAAAACCGTCGCGGAGGAGCAGCCAAGTGCTATATAAAAGCAAAATGGGTTTCAGCAGAGCTGTTTTCCGGGTTATTAAACGTTAAATTCTTACGATGCACTCGAGAGATGCGCTGAGCGACTTTGACGGAGGCGAAACCTATTTTTGCTCATACCCACTACTCACTGCTCAGTGCTCAGTGCTCACAAATACGCATTTTTATCCCCTTTTCAGAGCCCATCAAATGTGTCACCCGGAGATAAAAAATAATTCACTTCGAATCTCTCTTTCTCTCTCTCTCTCTCTCTCTCTCTCTCTCTCTCTCTCTCTCTCTCTCTCTCTCTCTCTCTCTCTCTCTCTCTCTCTCTCTCTCTCTCTCTCTCTCTCTCTCTCTCTCTCTCTCTCTCTCTCTCTCTCTCTCTCCCTCTCTCTCCCCCTTTCGTCTCATTACTCTTCTTAAATCTTCTCTCTTCAGGAGTATGCAACGACAGAGGATTGAGAACCGACACATGCACTTTGCCATGAGAGGCTTCTCGAATCCCCGCTCGTTTTGCAGATCTCGGCGGCGTCATTATCCTGACCCGTCGGATGGGCCAACGTAGAGCTTTGGTCACTATTTATCCCTGAGCATTTAGCCCCAACTGCTTTACGCGCTATTAACTACAAATGGAGATCAGAGAGCACCCCGTGGCCCGGTCGTTCGGCAGAAGTGCGACATATTTCTCCGCCAGGCTGGGTAAGTAGGCACAGGACCGCCTCCGCTAAGGGTATCCCGTGGAGCAATAAGGACAAATGTATTCCGCATGTAATAGCGCGATGCGATTCGGGCTGTTCGTATCCATAAATGTTCCAGCCAAGCAATATGTGTGCTCCTGGTAGCATAGACATCACTGATTACGTATAGCAGTAGCCATCTTCTTGTAATGGCTACACTATCTAGCTAATAGGCTCGTTTTTATGCATGGTTCGGTCATTTCGGTTATAAAAACTTGAACTACAAAAAGCCATGCATGCCGAGGTGGACAGTATTATTAGACAATGGAAGCATCCATGGATTCCAGACCTGTCGGCGCTGGAAGGATGAACGAGATTGAAAAAAAAGAATCAATAAAGCTGAACAAATATTCCAACTGAACACTTATTTCGGAAAAAAATGTCTTATAAAAATCACATCCAAGACCCTCAGTGAGATCAGCCGCCAGCGCCCCGTCCCCGCTGCTTCGGAGGCGCGCCCGGTCAGACCGCCGCACACAGCCCGGCTGTGAAATTTAGCATTAGTGTCGGGTTTTCCGAGCGAACGCCTCGTCTCCCGGCTCCGAGGGCTCGTTCTAAATCGTCGGCCCTGCAGAGCCGGACGGCCTAAATAAATCGGCCAGTCACTCGGCCCCATCCGGACAAGCGCGGCGCGGCGAGAAAAAGTTGTCGAAACCAAACCCGGCCGGCGGATATCGATTCTCTCAGATTGAGGTCCGAAATGAAACAGCGTCCGGAAAATGCTGCCGTCCTCAGCACCCATGTGAAATAAATGATACAACACAGCCGAGGTCTCTATGGAACTGCGCTAAAATCCTCTAGAGAAACTCCAAAACTTGTACCGCAGCAGCCAGAGAACCAAGCTAAGTGCTATTTATGATGCATATTTTCTTTCATCGTTGTATGTTTGAACGACTCGAAAGTTCAACAAAATAAATCTTACACTGTAGAGGCTGAGCACTGAGCACTTGAGCAGCTCATCTAGGAAACTCGCTTGCTTGTAAGAATATGCATCACAAATGTACATGTGACCTAATTTTCATGAAAACAGCGATACAAGTCATCCAAATTCCAGTATAAGCCACCTTAGCTGGTGCGACCCGACAGTTGCCCCATAACATTTCTGTCCCCACACCAGCCCGCGATATAGAGGCAGAAGACAGCACCCGCCCCTGCACCCATCTGTCCTCCGGCCCACCCTCGGGCACGCCCCACTGCTCGCCGACCTCCCGCGACTGACACCTTCTGCCGCCGCCGCCGGAAACCCACCGGAAACCCGCGCCGTCGTCGCCGGAAGTGGCGCCGCCGAGCGCTTCCGGCGCCACGGCCACTTCGTTTCCGGAGTAGCTGATTGGCGGAATGGGAAGATGCGGTGATCTTGTTTCGTGTTGTCTCGGCTTATCGTGTTAATTACGCTGGAAGTGAGTTAACCCGCTTATGCTGAATAGGTTAACTGAAGAAACACCTCAGGGATAAAGAGGAGAAATGAAAAGAAGATGTTTGATTTTGGTTTTCGACTGACGCGTGTCTGCTGTGCGAAAACCCGTGCTGTTTTCCTCTTACTACATAGCTTGATGGGATTGAGTCCAATGTTATTGACTCCTTTTGCCGGAATAAATTCCTTGAAAGTTATTATCCCATTTTATTGTATATGAATTATGAAATCTTGCCAATTAATTTGATTAACATCCCTATATGCGCGTCAACCATATTCGCAAACCCTTACCACTGACACTGAGGCTCGAACCACTCTTTTCTTTTCGTTTTTTTTTTTTGTAGGGTTCACACAATTTATTACAGTGGGACAGAGCCTCTCCCTCTGTACCAGATTGCACTCACCAGTCATTGGCCGTCTGTATCACATTTTGTTGTTGCTGCTGCTGCTGCTGTTGATGCTTCTGTTGTTGCTGCTGTTGCCTTTTTCGTCCAGTCTGAGCAGGCTTCGGTTCTGCTACCATGTTAACATCTGCCGGAAAAAAAATGAGAGCCAGGCAAGATTTATCACTTTAATCCGACAGCGATCGGCATGCATGGATTTTCAGTGTAGCATGAGGTTACAATTTACATCCTCTCGAAGCATGCTTACATACCTATAGTATCGCTGATTGGAAAAGGAGCTGCTGATCGAGTCTAACAGTATTGAAATGCCGAGAAGGTGATCAGATGAGAGTGGAACTTATGTTCAAGGTCGTTCTAAATTTGATCCGGATCGATAATTGTGATTTATGGCTTAATGATGCCACTGAGCTCCAAGTCATAAAATCAACCAACTGAATTCATGGAGAAAATTGGAAATGTATTACCACAATGTGAAAACGTGACCTGAACAGTTCCTCGATTTTACAGACATGTGTCAAAACCTAAGGCACCAGCAAGATGGCTTTGAGTCGGCTTCAGCGAGCCACGTCTGCGGAAAGGCTAACACTGTCGTCGGGTCGTTTTCTGGCCCTTTCTCGCAGACGTGCGGTCATTCGGGGATTTTCTGTCGGAAATAGGAGGTCCTAGGGCTCATTCGGACTGCAGGGAGATAGTCGGAGGGCAGTCTTTATGTAGCTGGCCCAATGAGATGTGTCATAAAGAGAGCTGTCCGTGATGAAATGAAACATAACGTCTTTCATAAGGGAAGAAAGACAAAGGAATCTGTCAGGCACACGCCGATGTAAAACTTCCGTCCGTCGCGAAAGCTGAGGGAACGCTCAACCACATCAGAGCCAGAGAATCGCCGGGAAGGAAATGCTAAAAGAATGTGCATTAGATCACATCTCAGGCTCATGCTCAGCGAAAATAACACACGCCATGGCTAATGCATGGAACTGAAGGATTGTGCCGTTGCAAGGTGAGGTTTTCCATTGTCTACTTACCGAGCACCTGACCGAATATGCTGCGTGCGTCCTCCCCCATACAGGCGGAGCGGGCGTCAAACGGGTTCGTAAACTGAATAAACGCGAACCCTTTGTGCATCGAGATTCCTGGGAAAGGAGAAATACATCTCGTCAGACATTCACATAACTCTGTGAAGTAACTGAACTCAGCTTTAGATCATTGAACCATCTTGGCAATGTCAATGAAATGTCAAACAAGGTGATACAGGGCATGTTCAAAAGCGTTCGTCATCCTCTTGATGATGCGCTTATAATTCCAGCCATTTACATATTGCCTGAACCTTGACATTGAGGCAGTATCGCGTCATGAGCTCTTACTTCGTGTCCGATTTAGTTTGTTCCCGGGTCATGCGCGGCGCCGGTTTACCGTTTCGTTAGGGGCGGACAGCCGGCGCGGCCGCGGGCCGTTTTTCGCCCCCGGCATACCACCACCGTCGGGTGTCACAGCTAAACGACGGAGACCCCGCCTCCGCCGTCCCCGTCCCGCCCCGCTGACAGCTGACGGCGTGCCGTAGATGACGTCATAATGACGTCGGATGACGTCATAATGACGTCAGGTCGTACAGGACACCGTCTGCAGGCGCCGTCTTTATGGACCGGCATTCCTTCCAACGGCGGCTGATGGCATTGCCGGCTGACGTCACCGCTTTATGAATCTTTTGTTAGAATCGACTGTCACTGGTAAAGCACTTGCAGTTGGTGCATGGCGACTGTTCGGGTCGATTTTGTCTACCAGCAACTGGGGCATTCCTGCTAGGTGCAAGTCTAGGGTAGAGCCAGGTATGCAATATGTATGCTGCACAATGCAGTTGCACATTGCATAATACGCATAGCCAGAACAGACAAAAAAGGGGACTATTATACAAGGCGAAATATTGGCATTCAGCTATACACTGTAAAAAAGTTTAGCACCCATGTCAAAAACCAGCACCCTATACCTGCTTATTTTAAGCAGGCTAAATGGGTACTATATTTTAGCACCCTTTTCGAAAAATAGCTCCCTGTGCCGGCTTATTTTAAGCACCCTAAATGGCTGCAACCATTTAGGGTGCTTAAAATAAGCCGGCACAGGGAGCTATTTTTCGAAAAGGGTGCTAAAATTTAGCACCCAGTTAGCCTGCTTAAAATAAGCAGGTACAGGGTGCTGGTTTTTGACATGGGTTTTTACAGTGTAGTGTCGTGATCATGTAAAGCCTTTGCCTTCGATTGTCTTTCTTTTTCACTGTACTTGCCACTGTGATGATCATATTCGACTGACTGTTTACTCATGATCGCTTGTTGATCAAACTCCACACTTCAGTTTCCGGATGACGTTTCTCCGGCGTGCGCCCTGAGGCGGCGGAATTGACTCATTCACCCCTCTGTTTGGGTGGCGCCGTGCATGTGTCAACGGTCCTCCATCCGCGGCAGGTGTTCCCGAGCAGGTCTGCGCCGAGTCTCAACATTTACACCTCGCCACCCAAACCGAGCTGAGCACCATACTGATACCGAGAACTCGAGTCTGTCCCCGGCCGGACCGGAGGCGCCATCTCAGTCAGTCCGAGACGAGCCACCCTTTGTGTTTGGAGCGGGCTATTTGCCGTTTATTGACTGACTCTTTTGTATGGATAGTGCATTTAAAACGGGAAATTCAAGTGAAACACATGGTGATGTATAACTATCAGAGTGAATGAATTGTAATATATTTTTACCCATAGCAACACCTTAGGACATGCTCAGCATGATTCATTCGGCTTTGTTCTCAGTGAAGAAGTGATTGGTTTAGTGGCTCAGACGGCTTACTTTGTCCGTGATGTCTGCAGCGTACCGCCTGGGCGGGGCAGAGAGTACGAAGGGTCGGATGAGTCGGTTCCCTGTTTACCCGTTAGCCCGGGTGTGTACCGGGTGGGGTCGGTCCGTCCGTTCGGTTATTGATCGCCCCCCGGGTCCCGCTGACCGGCCGCCGGTTAGACCGTCCGCGGCGACCCGTCATGAATGCTGAGCGCTGCATTCCGACCGCCCCCCGGCACACTCAGTCCACCGCGAGCAGCGCTAAACGGCCCCCGAACTACGACCCAAAGGGACTGCGCAACTGAGCACGCTGCCGAAATACCACAGAACAGATGAGCAGGACAGAATGGATGTCAAACGACAACCGGATGGGATGAACGACAGCCGACACAACGCTGTTTGAACAGCTTCTGTCGAGCGACATATACTGGTGAGGTGAATTGTTACGGCACAATTGACCCTCGTATGTGACTTAATTTTACTTGTTGTTTGGGCTATCTTCAGCAAAGTTTAACAACGTTTTTGACTGGTAAAAACAGTAAAGTGCAAACTGTCTACCAAGCATCAAATTTATCGAAAGTTGAACCTGCACGGTGATGAGCCATTCCAGGCTAGGCCTCTTCGAGGAAGGTCAGAACTTTGCTCGTCTTTTCGCTTCGCCACAAACTTACCCCTGATCGGGGCAGCCTTAGGAGAGCGCACAAAGTGTTTAACCTGTTCTATGTGATGTGAACTCTCACTACCAGTCGGATACAATATCCGAACAGTTAATTAAGCTCCCGAATACGAGCCCTGTTCTCCCAGTTGCTGCTCAGATATGCAATTGGCCATTATTCCCCTGCCATCCCAACAGCCATAGAGGTAGAACATGCATGTAGTTATGGCGCCCATAAGCCATTCACTCACCTGCAATGCGTCCATAGCGCTGGAAGAGTCGTTCCACATCCGTTTTCGTCGCCTGGAAGGTGTTTAGATTTCCCACAAACACTCGGGAGTTGACCGCCTGCGGGTCCTGTGAGTTGGTCTGGTTACCAACTTTGATCATCCTGAAATAGAAGAAGTGGAGACATTTGTTAGAAATCTATCAGTAGTTGCTAGTGGCATGACGTTTGCTCTCTGTTGTTCAAGTGTTTCCAGTTATTTTGTTTACTAAGAGCAAAGAGGAGTGCCTATGTTCTGAAATTGCGGACAAAAATTGATGGAGGTTTGGATCTGCAAAGATGTTTTAGTACTAAGCAATAAATGAACTGCATAATTATGAATTTGCCTGCACTCTCTTCCCTACAGACTGAGCCCCGGGGATTTGCCACCTACAGCATCGCACAATGTAGGCTTAACCCGGCATCGCCTGGGCTATTTCCGTACCCACGACAGCCTGGGGGGGGGTCAGATCCGACCCCCCCCCCCTGATATCTCGAGAACCAATGGTCGTATCGAGCCCCGCGAGGCGGCGTTCGAAAGGTCTCTACGAGACCTTCCCAAAGCACTCTTAAGATTTTAAGATTGAGGTCAACTTTCGGGTCAAGGTCAGGTCAAAGGTCAAATTCTGGGGTTTTGCATGATTAGGCTTACGGACAGCGGAATCGACAGCTGCTGCTCGAAACTCACCAAAAATGACCTCAAAGACCTAGTGAAGGTACCATGTGCGTATAGGGGTCATACTAAGTACGGGTCAAGGTTAGGTCAGGTCACGAAAGGTCATGGTTTTCACTTTCTGCTACATGGGCGTGCGACACATGTTTTATGGCTTATTTTTCACGCCGAATCCGATGGTAATGGTTATATGTGACCCCAAGTAACTGTGCTGGTGATAAGTGTGCATTTAAAGCATAAAAAATCGTTTATACCATACATAACTAAACGAGGGCTAAGAAAAAAGGTCAATTTTTCAACTTTTTATTTTTGACATAAAAATGCACTTTTCTAGACGAGCTTTGTCCCAGGAATCTAGTGGTGCCATTTGTTTTCACATGCGATGTTCAGAAGTGCCTCTAATTCACGAAAATGCTTATGACGTCACCATGCCCTATGCATGTTGGAGCTATTTTTTTTTACAATTTGGGGGTCAACAATCAAGATAGAAAATTGAAATTTGGGACATCTAATGTTCTAATAGAGCTTTATAACATATATTCCGGTTTTTGGAAATTCTCAAAATTTTGGATTTTGTTAGCTGTTTTCCAAAAAATATAGTTTTTTGAATTTTTAGGGGTGAAAAACGCATTTTATGGAAAATCCGAGATAGCCATTTTAAAGAACTCGTTGAGTTGCGTCTTTTCATGTCCTTAATTTGCAATTTGCTTCAAACCCTGATTTTTGGCGATTTTTTAAACATTTACCACTTTTTGACTGAAAACGCCATGTAGTTACGTCACTAAAATCGATATATCTAAAAAATAATTGGAAATTTTTTCTTAAGAATTGCACAGGAGACGTCAATTTGATGGGGGAGAAGCTATGCCAAGTTTCAAGTCGATAGCGTAAGCTGTTCATAAGTTATTCAAGAAAAACGGAGGGGGGTCGGATCCGACCCCCCAGGCGGTCGCGGGTTGTGCTTCAACGCTTCGTGAAAGCATTTAGCTCAGAGTAAATCACGCCAGTCGAGCAGCCTGTTTGCCGCCCCCGCCCGCGGCGGAGTGCGCTGCTCGAGTTCCTCGAACGCCATCAATCGTTCTCGGTAGGACGCCAGCGGCCAATCCGGCAGCCATACGGCCGGTATCGGTGCCCGCAGGCCGACAGACGGGCCCGCATCAGTGCGGGTACTCGCCCTCCATCATTTCAGACCGACCGACCGGCCCACACTCGGATCTCCTTCCATGAAACGGCGGCTCCTTATCGGAGTACCGCGGGGGCCAAACGGGCGTGGATCCGCCGGCGGTGCGCTGCGAACCTCCGGTCACAGACCCGACCCCCGCCAGTCCGTCGGCCACCCGCCCCGCCGACACCGACGCGTCGTCCTCACGGCCCGTTGAATTTCGGCGGAACGGGCCGCAATGGGGCTGACAGTGGAATGACTGCGGCTGGACGACGGCAGAACAGAGCTGCGGCAGTTACCGCCGGCTGCGGGCACTGCAGGACACTGCGGCGATCATAGGACTCTGCGGAAAATCATAGGACGCTGCGGCAATCGCAGGACACTGCGGATGCCGCAAAGCATTGGCCGGCTGAGTGAATGAAGTTACTTTCTGTTTGCTAGATACTGAATATCCGGAGACGAGAGAAAAGACACTGTCGCACTTCCTGCTCTGGTAAATATAGTGCTTACCGATGAAATTAGCTTTGAGATGTGAATCATTTCCAGACTGAATGTCACGTCCGCTGAAGGCTTTTTGCCTTCGTAGGTAGGCTAACCCGCTGTACTCCACTGCTCAGCGGCGCAGCATAGCAGCCCATCCAGCGCGCTGGCGACTGTGGTTTCCGTCGAATCGCTGTGCGATGCGAGATAACAGTCGCTTGTTCAATATGTTTAGCGGCCACTGTGTAAGAGAACACTGATTGGGCAATTTAGGACAGTTCCCTGTTTGTTTGTTTTTTTTTTTTTTTAAACTACGAATGTAGCTGCGCCAGTCACTCATGGTGTCTGAGCAGAAACTGTTTTTGGTGTAGGGGTGGGGTGGGGTTGGGCCTTTACTATATTTCCATTTATAAAGAGTGTTCTGCTCTATCGAGAGTTTCCGGCCTTGATTTTAACACAGGCTACCTGCTTTACTACCGGATCACCCGAGGAGTGATTGTATCTGCTCGGTGGCCGATGTGCCGATTTGTTCACCGGGGCTCTAATTGACAAAGATGGCTACCGATGGCTGTAAAGTGGAGATACATGGCTGCCCTCCTACCTCGGCTGACCGAGGAAATGCTCAGCCGACCGACGATAGCAGGCAGCGAGTAGCAACGTGCCATGCATAAATAAAGCCGTTCGTGGAACGCTAGAACGTCGTGGTACCGGTTCCGAGATTTAGTCTTCTAAGCCGAGGAGTCGGTTGGCATGTGTATTTTGCATGCATCTTCTCTCACGATTCTTGTCCCAGCTGTAAACTGGTAGGCACACCAATTTCCTGATAAACGAATTTCAATTGTCTGCTTTCTTGCATTTTTTAATCAGATGCAAATTTCATTCTTAAGCTATGTGTACTGTTCAGCTCGTCAATGCAGGAGAACGTAGCATCATAATTTTTATTAGGGTGCCTTGTAAATAAAGCAGAAACATTCATAACAATACCGGCGCAGTAGCACAAGATCAAAGCGCTGCAGGGTGCTGATCAGGGCCCACCGCTCGACACCTCGACTCCTGTTGTTTCTCTCCGGCTCTAATGAACGCTAGCGGCCGACAGGGGCCGCCGCGCTGGCTGTATGATTAATAGTGCTAAGCGATAGTTTAATTTGAGCCCGCTGCGCCTCCGGCTGCCACGGGCCGCTGTCACGTGATCCCAGCTGCTGGCGATGACACGTGGATACACGTGGAGCCGCGTGGGGCCACGAGAGACGTGCATACGAGATACTCGGGTTGATTTCTTGAGCGCGTTGGTTTACTGTTGCGAACATTTGTGAAGATAGAATAGTGCCAAGTGCACAGAAAGGCGCTAATAGAATGGCATGTGTAACTAATGGCAACAGTTACGTACCTAATCTTAGCCTGATTTGGTTTGGGCTGTTTTCTTGCCCCTTCACTAAAAGTTATCCTATTTAAAAGGTTATTTAAAAAGCTCTTGGCACCATCCTGGATGATTTTTATTGGAATCGGATGTCGTTTTCCCGGTCACCGCCAGCTGTCATCTCGGCAGTCATCAGCGGTCACCATTGACTGCCACCTATCACCAGCTGTCACCAGCTGTCACCAGCTGTAACCGACAGTAGCCTTAGCGCTAATCACCGGTCACTAAGTCACCCGTGGGTCAACATTGCAGGACAGGGACCGGAGCTATATCTGAACGTCCTCTGCCGGGGCGGACCAGGACTGCAGCTATAACTGGACGTCCTCTGCCAGGGCTTGAAGTTAGTAGAACGGATTTTGTAGAATTAGTGGAATGTCTTCGACGTGGGTATCGACTTGATACACCCTTTAGAAGTACTATCCATTTGAGTAAAAGCTTAGATATTCAAATACTTCTACCAATGATCAGCGCGAAACTGATGTTCTCGCGGCGGAAGGCCTTTCACTCGCCCCTCACCTGCTCTGAATGGCAATAGACGAATCCTCTCTGCACTGGACGAACTTTAGCGGAAGCTTTCGGACGGACCCAACGCTGACTGGCATTTCTAAGGGCACTTTCCTTTTGCCAGAATATACAAATGTGTTGGTGACCAACGAACTCCTAAAACTTCTTATGTAGTGATCATCATGTCATCACGTTTATTCGTGAAATTTCAAACACCTCCCTTATTCCTTGAAGGGAACGAAACACCCACATAAAGATCATTTGCAACTATGTACTTACCTCATTGTATTTCTCTCTACAGATTCGCTCAGACCTAACCTTGGTTTTCTTTCTACCCCGTGGAGCGTGACGTGCAGTACTTTGGGTTCGTCACCGGACAACTATTCATGACACTCCTGTGCCATGTATTGATCACACAGAGGCGGTTTGTTGTGTCCCGGTGCCATGAGGCTGCATTGTACGCCCCCCCCCCCCCCCCCGGATCCTCCCCCTTCCCCTGACCCTCCCCCCAGGTCGGTTCCATGCAGAGGGAATGTATTGCAGACCAGCTGATCGCCGCAGGGCGGCAGTGTCCGCGTTCATACGGCTGTTTGCGGCTTGACAACGGTGACAGGCCGGGCCGCGGCCCAGGCCACCGGCACTGATGTGATGTGGTTACGCTTTGACGACAAGTAATGGGTGACAGCGAGGTCGACATGGGCGGAACAAGGTCATCAGCGCCACGGACGGAGCGGCCGGACTGAGGCGATTTTGTTCTGGCGGTCACAAAATGAGGGAACATGTTAGAGAAGCTAAATATTTGGAATGAAAACTGTCGTCGTTCTATGCACATTATCAGATTTATGAAGAAAGTGTGAAGACATGATGAAGATGTGGTGATGCATGATGTG